ATGTTATTATAATATATTACATTTTTTAATATTTAAGATGGTTTTCATAAATAATATTTCTAAAGAATTACAATAACATTTTATTAAAATACTTACATAAAAGATACTAGGGATAATACAAAATTATGTGGAGGTGAAATTATTGTTCCATAAAGAATATCAAATTTTATAAATCTATAACAAAATGGACAAAGAAAAGAAGTGGTTTTTTGCCAGTTTCTTGTGAAAACTTGAATTTCTCGTAGACACTCCGCTCATTATCAGTGTCCGAAGTTAATGTATAATACAATGTAAAATTAATAATTTCTAAAATATAATCTCAGAATTTAGTTGCCACTAACAATCATGTAAGGAAGTCTCATATAATGATACTATTTAACTTAAGTAATACTATTACCATAATTGTTCTTATGCAATGAAATTAATTACTTAAAAAATTTTATTTAAAAAATTAAATGTTTTCATATTTATTCGATTAACGCAAAGATGCTTACATATTTTTGTAGAAAAAAATACGTAATGTCAGAATGGCCTATAAGTGGATACAATTTTAATGGAAGAAGATAATAAAATATACATTTCTAAATATTATACACAAAGATTATACAGCAATTTGATTTAGACACTATCACATTAATCGCTTATAATAAGTTTATTCCCATAATTTTTATATAATTGTGTATAATTTTCATTTATTTAAACAATTATATAACAACAAAGGCACTGGAAATTTTATTTCCGGTCATTATTTAATAATTATTTGTAACAATTAGGCAAGTACCACACTCGTTTTAAGAGTGCACAATTATTTACACTAGAATATATTATTAACTAGAATTTCTATAAAGATAAAGATACATACGAAGCAAATATATCAAATAAATAATTATTGACCTAAGAATCATACTACTGTTACAAATAAAACAAAAGCGTAAATTAAAAAAATACTGTCACAATAACGTGATTAACATATAATTGTATTTAATATTAATATAAAATATCATTAAAAAGTTATGGACGGCTTATTACAGTGTGCGATGTTTGCCACTTGTTCTTTCTCAACATAGTAAATAAATCTCGGACTGCTGTGGACAGGCGTACGAGAATTACTTATTGCTTACTTCGATTTATCCTCACTCTACTTCTTAATTTTTGTTCACAAAATTAATATTTTATTGATGAAAGTTTAACAATTTCATCAAATTTTACAAAATAATTAATTATTTCAATGAAACGCCTTGCACTGTATGTACAGTTTAGCTTGCAAGACATTTTGTTCAAATAGTTCTTTGACCTACAACTACTTACCAACTACAATAAATAGTTGGCATTATTTTGTTATTTCTTTAAATCAGACATTATATATGTATAAACGTCAACAATATCATATGTCAGACTTTTCGAACAAATGCGAGGTATTTACCTCTCTTAAATTGAATCAGTGAGCACTTTATCAGTAACTAAAACAGAGTAACACAAAACTTCACTAAGGATCAGCAAATATTTCAATGTGGGTACACTTTGCCCTTTAATTCCAATTTTACTCATCATGGTTAATAAACGTAAAATTTTACTGTAAATCATATAGATTATACCATATAATTTACAAAATTTTCAGTGTTTTAGATAATTTTTTTTAAAGCTTTCATATATCTGAAATCTGTATAACTGTATTCAAATTCAGAATCATACGTTACACTATTTTATCTTTTCTAAACCTACCACTGTTCATAGCCATTGTCTCCAGCAATCTAATATCGCAAGAGCAACTAATTTCTTCCAGTAAGAATTAAATAAAAATCCTCGTTTTACAATGATAATGATAATACGCTGATTCCGTTTAAGAGAGATCTTGACTCGATAAAATACTCGTTTTCATTTTAACAGATTAATGCATATCATAAGTATATTTTTCATCTAGTTTAACATGGCGTAAAAGATATCACTACAAAAGCGAGTTTTTGCCTTACAATATACTTGTACCAGTTACCTCGTAGGATTGAAAAAACTTATTAACGTATAAATCGCAAAGTATCTGGCAGTCATTTATACTTAGTGTTTTCTCCGTAGCTTTCGCCGATATCACCTATATAAAACGTAAATAAAAAAAGCAAACAAATTTGATTACATCGTACAAAAGTATGGAACTTATTTCTGCAATCATTGCTCAATCCATCTTAGCAATTATGCTAACTACAACATTATAGTGACGGTTTCGAGCGGCAACGAATTTTGTTCATGCTGCTGCTGCTGCTGTATCTGTTGTTGCTGCTGCTCCTGCTGCTCCTGTTGCTGCCGAGCATTTTGTTTTGCGTGCGTTTTCAGATGCGAGTTCAGCATCGTTTTCGAGGCAAACGATTTGTGACAGCGTGTACAGGGATAAGGTCGATCGCCCGTGTGACCCCGCAGATGCACCACCAAGGTAGTCCGTTGGGTGAACCTTTTGTTGCAATGAATACACTGATGCGGCTTCTCGCCCGTATGCGTGCGACGATGCACGCTCAGGTAGTTCTGCGAGATAAAACCCTTGCCGCAAATGTCGCAAACATGCGGCTTCTCGCCGGTGTGTTTACGCAGATGCACCGCGAGGTAGGTCTTGCTCGACACGGACTTGCCGCACATCGTGCACACGTACTCGTTTTGCGGTCCCACATTGCCGTGGGTCTTCATGTGCACCAGCAACACCTGTCTCCGTGAGAAACGCTTGTTGCACAGCTCGCAGTGGTGTTTCCTCTGTGGCGGCACGTAGTCCGGCTGATGCAGCTTCGCGTGGAGCCGTAAACCTTGGCGGTAGCGGAACGTGGCGTTACACACGTCGCACTGAAACGGCTTTTCGCGCGTGTGCGACAACAGGTGCGTCTGGCAATCGCTCTTGGCCTGGAATTGCTTGCCGCATATCTCGCACTCGTACTTGTAATCGGACACGTGCCACTGCTCCTGGTGATCGTGCAGCTCCGACGTCGTCGTGACGCTGCACCCGCAAATCTCGCAGACGAGATACTCGTCCTCCTGCGGCTGCGCTTGCTCCTCCGAATGGGACTCGTGCGTCTCTAGGTGCAAATTAAGATCCTGATCGGTGATGAAACTCACGCCGCAGAATTCGCACTGCAGCACGCTCTCGTGAGTGAGCATATCCGTCGCTTCCATCTTCGGATGCACGTGCAACGAGTCGGCTATCGGTAATTGTGCGTGCTCCTGAGCAAAGACGTGCTTGATTTCGCCGGGCCCGCACTGCCGATCCTGAGGCAGCATCGTGAGTTTTGACACAAAATATCTGGAAAGAAGAGAGACACAAACGGAAGTCAATCAGTGCTCGTTCCTCGCCGCCTTTTTCGTTCTTTATCGTTGCCTTAACCAGGACCTTACGTAGTAAGCGAAATATTTACAGGGACGGTCAGCTGGACACTCGTGCTCGATTGTATGGAAGTTGGGTGGTCAATAAAGTGCCTCACTTGTCATTTCCAGTATTCTCTTTATTATGTAGACATCTGTCCTCTACCTTCTCTTATCTCGATCGTTTTATTATTGAACAATGTTTATTCGTGAACCAACACCCCGTCGTCTCCTGCACTACATGTTGTACTTGCAGTTTGTTTACATCATCTTGTAGCACACAATCCGCGACTACAAAATACTGCTTATATTTTATGCTTCAGGCATATTGTGTTCGTTACTACAATGCGATCGTCTTAACAATACTATTATATGTATATATTAACAAATCATACCATTTTCCTCTCTTCTAAGTGCACAATCTCACTATTTCTTGCTTACACTATATACAGAACATTGCATTGCTATCATACGAGCCACAAAAATTCAGTAGATTCTCTTAGAAACCTTGAATTAATTTCCTTCTCGTAGTCAGCTTGATAAAAAATCAAATTTGCTGGACTTCCACAATTTTACGTTAAATATATTTAAATAATTTCCAGCTCGAAAATTTGTGTCACGTAAAATTATGTAGAAAATACTGTACGTGATTTATATTGTTTAATATACATTCTATTTGTCTTCGAATGTAATAGATTAAATTTTGATTTTTTTTATTATTGATGTTCAATATAAATAAATACGTCATATCTCAACGCTGAGCTTCTATCTACGATCAAAAAAATCTCCTATAATATAAACTGCTTGTACAACACGTTCAGATAAATATACTTTTGTCATTCCTCTTCTTACTTTTTGCTACAATTTATTACTTAATTTATTTAACATATAATTAAATAATTCTATAATAAAAAATTACTACTATTCTATAAATAATTAAAGGGCTAAAGACTTAAATGCTTCATTTAGTTTTCTTCTCTTGTTAAAAAGAGCAAAGAATCAGTTAACTGTAATTAATATCGGTGGGAACTCTTTTAAAATGCATTTACGAATCCTTCGATACGCGTGCGTGTTACAGTAAATTAGATATTCCTGTCGCGAAGCAATTATGACAGCCTTAAACTGTTCATTACACTTGTACATAAAAAAAAAATTATTTCCACTAATTATACTTGGATGTTAATATTTTAGTCTGCATTTCTAAACTCTAGAATAATAGATCAATATTGAAAAATATCAAGTTTAAGCAACCGATCAGTGAACAAACTAATTAAACGCGTTATCGACGTTCGTGCTTTTTACCGACTGTGCGAATTAAAAAAAAATTATGTATAAAAGGAACAAAATAGTAACATAAGAATTAATATTCTGAATACATATTTCCACATAAAACTTAGTTCAATGCTAGAACAGATTTCCTAACGCACTTTCTTTATTGGATAGAAAAACAATTCATTCTCTCAATGTAGAATCCTCTTTTCTAAAAAAATCCCGCAAATAAAACTATTCAAATATAACTGAAGAAAAACTTTACCTTTTTGCACATAAACTTTTAATATGTTAAATAAACGTAAATAACCGTGTATATTATTTCTTTCGAATATGTGTGTCTCCTAGATTTAAAACAAAAATTTTTAATAAAATTGAAAAGAATTTAATAAAAACTTTCACTTTTATTTAAAAAAATGTAAATATAATACAATCATCTATCAGAGTATTCTAGCAATAAGATGCGTGATCTTTTCCCCAAGGATATTGTCAATCTTAACTAATTGGCAATATACATATATATGTATAGATGCATGCATAATGCAAGTTTTGCAGAAATGCAGTCTAGTAAGTTATATTGATGGAAAAAAATACACTTATAAAGCGACCTCTCAAGTTGGGAATTTCTGGGAGAAATCATTAAATATATCATTTACTTTAATCTACTTTCGAGTTGCATGTAACTTCTAGGACTAAATCTAGATAGATTTAAGCGTCTTCATACTTACATGTCACATTTACGTAATTAACGTTACACGTTCTACCCTGTCTTTCATCCTATATTAATTAAAGGCACGTGAATTCAGCTGAAATTACGTTGAAATTAATTATCGATCGGTTTAATATAATTAAATTGTTTTTTTTATGTCCACGCGAAGTACAAAAATAATTATTCAGTTACTTCGAAATGGCTTTTCAGGCTTAGATTTTTATCTCACGATGAAAAACAAATTCTAAAAAATTGAACTTTTTAGGCACTTTTTTTCATATTATTGCGCAGGTACCAACCTTCTCTTATTAGAAACTGAATTACGCCATATCAACTTTCAATTAGAAGGATAGAAAGTTTCACGTCGCGTCTAATAATATTGACATTATTTAAAATGTCTTGTATAATATACAAACGATATCACAGTGATGACAACATTTATGATTATAGTACGTAAACGTTCGCTTACTTTTATCGTGATTTTGATTTGATTCGATTATTAAATATACTTTATCCGAAACTATACGGAGTTTATTTATATTATCACGTAGACGTGTTCGTAAAAAAAATTAATTTACACGTTTTAATTCGTTCGCCATATTATATATCGACTTATTATACTGCGATAGTAACTTGAGTAATTTTAGGCACTTGGATATCAACACTCTATAAAATTCCCATAAAAAGAATTACTCGAATAAAAGTACTTGCAATTTCCACGGCCTCCTTTTATTGAAAAATCATATACCGAGTATTAAAATCTGTCTCAATAGACAGTTGTAACCAAATTGCTGATTATTTTTACTTTCGCTGCTGTAAATTCCCTTCTTCTGAAATTGTACCAAACAGCTTGAAATTAAATCAGAATTGACAAACAAATTTTTCATCGTCGGTTTCTTTCTCTAGAGTGTTGACGAAATATTGTATTCTGAGATCAAGACCATTATTTTCCCTAGAACGCCCGTCGCATCTTCCAATTTAATCCGCGCGCGGCAAAAGAAGTCTCGTCGATCCCGCGGTCGGCTCAGTGTTTCTTCATGTGATTAAGCATAATCGTTCGCGTGACAAATCCCTTGCCGCACAGCGTGCAGGTGTACGGACGCTCCCCCGTGTGATAACGGCGGTGCACGGTGAGCGTCGACGCCTGCGTGAACGATTTGCCGCACATGGCACAGAGATACGGCCTCTCGCCGGTGTGGATGCGTTGGTGCACCACGTAGTACTTGCGATGCGTGAAGCCCTTGCCGCACACGTCGCAGACCAGCGGCCGCGACCTGTGCACCGCCTTATGCGTGGTCAGTGACTCGGCGGTGGTGAATTGCTTGGAGCACGAGTCGCAGGGATAAGAGGGCATGGACTTGACGGGGATCACGGGACCGGGGCCGACGACGGCGACGCCGAGATTGCCGGCTACCACCGGGTCGACGGGCGACGACACGGCGTTGGCGCCCGCGACTATCCGGCTGTCGTTGCTCGCCGGCAACGGCCTGTGGGTTTTCGCGTGATGATTGTACAAGTTGCGCGTCTCGAAGCGCATCATGCATCTCGGGCAGGAGTAGGGTTTCTCCTGACTGACCTCCTGGTGCATCCTCCGGTGACGTTCCAGCAGCGTGCGATAACGAAAGCTGGCCTGGCAGAGATCGCAGGCGAACGTTTTCTCCATGTTGCCGGCGGGCGACGCGGCGAGACTGGCCGAGGTCGACGCGCACGTGGGCACCGGCGCGGAGTGCGTCACCTCGTGCATCCTCAGGTGGTTCAGGGCGACGAAGGTACGCGAGCAGACCCCGCACGAGTACCGCGGCTGGCTCTCGATACCGTGCTCGAATTCCGGGCGCACGGCGTGACTCGTTCGCATGTGGTAGTTTAGCTTAAGGGCGCTCCGGAACTCCAGCCCGCACGTGGGGCACGGATAGGACTCGGTAAAGATTTGCACCTGATCTAGCAGGGACTGGTCCGTGCACACGGACTGAAAATGCGGGGGGAGCAGCGTCGACGATAGCATCGACGATTGGTTCGAGAATATCGAGTTGGTCTGTAGGAGATTACAATTGACGGACATACCGACCTCGCCGATCTCGGGCGAGGGCGAGAGGATCTGACGCAGCATCCCCGACAGTCCGCCGAAGGTCTCGCCTCCTTCCCTGAAATTGACAAAACCCAAGGACATTGCAACGGAGAACGACCCGTGGGCACACACACAGCTTTGTCTTTTGACTCTGTTCTTTGTGATCATTACAAATATATCTTGCGTACAGGCGGTGATGAGAGAAAGAGAGGAAGAGAGAGAGAACAGAAAGAGAGAGAGAGAAGAGATAGATCTTATGCTTATGTGAGTGCTGCAAGGTGGCCGGTGCAAGGTGCTTGGGCGTTGCTGGCGTCCCTCACGAAACCCAGCAATCGTAACGTGTTTTACAAGAGCGCACGTGCGAATCGAGAAAGTCGTCAAGTCAAACAGCATTGCAAGTTCCATCATCCCCCGCTACGTGAATATTCATCAAGCTTTCCGAAGCTTCACAAGGCCTACACGATAATATTTCGACACTATTGGACGGATAGTATTAACGATAAAGATCACCTATTCAATACGAAACGATCTCGTGGACCTAGTCTCTTATTGCGTTCATTACTAATTAATATCTATCGTTTAGATTATAATTACAAATACGTACACAAGTATGTGGATTTATTTGTTCGTTATTCCCTGGCGGTACAGCAGAAGGGGAAAAGTAAAGATCAAGCCATAAAACTTGGCAAAAAAGTTCGAGGAAAGCAAACTTTTACTCAAAAGACCACTAATGACTTGGGATAGAACATGTTAAAACGCAAATCAAATCAGGTATAGAAAAATCTCACCTTAATAAATTATCCATTACGATACGGCCATCTTCTTCCTGCTTTCACGGTGTAAAAAGGAGCATGGCTTTTCACGCACGAGCATATACCTGCATCCCTCCAACACATTTCAACATGTCACAGATACGCGTCACGCGAAACGAGATAAAAAATGCAGGTGAGAACTGTAATAAGAATAACGGGGAGGGGGGGGGGGAAAGGGAGAAAATTTCAAGTATTATTCAGTGCTTCGGAGTGCCAAGTGACAATCTGTGAAAATTTGACGCGGTTAGGAGCACAAGAGAGTGTGCCGTGTGCCAATCTTTCGCGTGTCAGATGTCAAACGCACTCAAAACTGGGCGCGTACCGCGGACAATCTCGGGATGGATTTCGATCGGGGCTGCTCAATTATTTCCTACACCTCTATTACGTCTCCTAGGAGAAATGGAATAACTCCGATCCGGAATCCATCCCGAGCATCGCCACGACAGGCACCCTGGAGCAGTACAATTTTCTCCATTCGCAAAAGCATCCACGACATACTTCAAAAATATGCCCCCCCCCAAAAAAAAACCGTCACGACACGTGTATCAAATGTGCGGCCAATTTTAGGCGCAACAAACACTTGACCGATCGCATCGCCCGCGTATTTTGTTCCGAGTGCAAAAAAAACGAAACCGGCGCAATTGCGATGCAAGCCTGGTTTGTCAAAAATTTCGTCAAGAGGACTCGGATCCTCGCGGTGAATCCTTTCGCACCTGTGGAGACGCGCGAGATAACACGCGCACATCCAAGGAACGTGCGTGATAAAAAATAACTCGTGATAATATCAGATATATATAATAAAAGAAAATTTATATTTGATACCAAAATAGCATCGTTCAACTTGTCACAGGTAACGATGCAAATTCGCGTTATTGAACCCGCAATATTTGGTCTCGCTTATAATAAGAGGTAGTCTATAAGTAGAATAAAAAAATATAGAATGTAGAAAACGTGATACTCGCCTTTGTGTCTACAATGCGAAAAATCCTCTTGAGTCGGCAGTCCTTTAACGGACGATTCTTTCTTTCGTTTCGCAGAAATCTTCGAATCGGAAGAAATACGATCCTTCATCTTCTTCAACGGTTCTCAACCGATCGGTCCTCTCGGTTACAATACACTATTGCGCAATTACTTTGTCGTCCGGCAAATTGCGCCGGGCACGCAAAATTCATTAACGATCTCGTGGAACGCGTTGTCGTTTTTCTTCCCTTCTTTTCTCTTTTTTGCGTTGATCAGAAGGTAAACTCTTAAGAATAAGTCGCAACATTGACGTAGTAATACAGTGTCCTGGCAATATCGTAAAGCGCAGGCGTCGGAAAGCACGAAGATAATAAATCAGAAATTGTAGATAAACGTTGCATCAATTGAAATTATCTATCGTCTGTGATTTTTGGATCGGCCGAATATATCGGCCGTGTGCGGCATTTAGTGCCATCACGTAAGCGTGGGAATATTAATATCGACAACATGTAAACGTTTGGTTTCTCACTGGACAGAGAGATCAGGCTGGTCCCCTCTCGGGGGCACCGCTCGGCTTTCGGCTAGGCGAGAGATCAATCCCATTCTCAGTGTCACGAGCGCGGATACATAGCCCAGAGAAATCCCTCTGTCCACTTTCTTGCACATATATAAATAATATCTAACGTGGGGTCCATCTCGACTTCCGAGGCGTGGCAAGAAAATACTTACGGCATTGTAAGGAACACCGTCGGGCAAATGAAATGTCGAGATGCACCCCATGTACATGCTACCACATGTAAAAGTAACAAGGTGTTTAGCAATTTGTATTCTCAGCAACGCGCATTCCCCTTTTCGTGTCGCAACGTCATTCGAAAGTGGCGCGGTACGCGCGTAGAAAAGTATCCGTGTAAATTGCTAAACGCCTAGGGCCAAAGATGGTTGTGGGGTGTGTCCAAACTTACCTTGTGTTCACCCGCGCCTTACATTTATACGAACGAAAGCTCGGCTATAGTCGTTATCTATGTTGCATTTGCGTATCTGTCGTTACAGGTTCGACGATTCTTTCAAGACTCGTCATCAAATGTTATTGTATGAAAAGCGACACTTTTAGACACGCAGATATGGATTTCTTTAGAAACAAATATACTACGGCGCCATTTGTAACTCTTGTTGGTCTGCATTGAAGGTACTTAAATAATTATGATCGTACAACACGTCGTTAAATTCATGTCACTCCTACACGTTGATTTCAGTAGGGATTGAACAGTTCTATTCACCTTGAAATCCGAACGAAGCTAATAGAAATAACGAGTAAAGACCAACGCGATGTTCAAGTGTAACTGTTTATGCTCGCCACAACAAATGACACCTTTGGCCCTGAAATAGTCGAGTAAGAATAGAAAACTCACCCAGTTTTCGGATCCACGTCCGCTGCCTGTGGCATCACCATCTCGGGCATGTCGGCAATTTTCTGTTGCTGGAGACCAGAGGGGCCGGCTTCGTCGCACGCCAGGGAAACATTAACAAACGTCGTAGGCTCTATAGTTCTACTGTTATTAGGATCTTCCTCACTCTCTTCCTTTATAGGTAGGCCTTGAAAAACAGATTTCAAACCATCTCACTTTTTCTCCTCTCTACCCGCCTCGTCCGAGTTTCTAAATTACGTTTGTCGAGCAATTAAATACGCAAGTTACAAGATTCAATTTGCAGCGCGCAATAGGTACCTTCGTCTCCGTCGCACTCGTCGTCCGAGTTCTCCTCCTCTTCGCTACTCTCGTCCTCGTCCTCCTGTTGCGTAGGCGCGTCCGTTTGATTCTGTGCAATTTGGTCGTGTGCCGCTTGCGTGCTTGGTCCGGCCACTGGTTGGACATTTTGTACAGAGCTACCACTGCTGTCCATAGGAACTGAGGTTATTTGTTGCTGGGCGTTACTCGACATCATCATGGGCATACTTAGGCCCATGTTGTCCATCATGCCCATGTTCATATTGTTCTGATGTTCGCTCACTTGCTGCATCACAGTACCGTCTAACCTGTTCTCGTTGCTCTGCTCCGGTTTCATTCCGTTCTAAAATTTCACAAAAGGCACGAGACGTGAGTTCCCTCCCCCTTTTTTTTTTAACAAGAATTAAAAGTTTCAACAACAAACTAAATACACTTCATCTCCAAAGCGATCTCAGTCCGTCTCTTTAATTATATCCAATTGTTACATAACGCGCGATACTTTTTGTAAAATTAAATTTATCTATTACTAGGCAGTGAAAAAGATTGCGGTGGTGTAAGAAAAAGTATGAAATGTAAAGTACTAAAAAGGGACTTACAAGAGCGGGCAAGATATCGTGTTCACTAGCTATTAGCATTGCCAAGGTAAACATAGACAAAAGAGGAATCGAACAAATGACAGTCCGAGGCGTAGCGCAAAAAGAACGGTGAATAAAAGTGGTGGGGAACAGCCGGCCAATTACGTTTTGTGCACAATGCTAGGGCCGGTATTCACAGTCGGATCTTATATTCAAGACCGTATTGAATTTATCAGATGCTGTACGGAACACTTCATTGGCCACGGAGTATCTGAAGATGATTTCATAGACGATCTTGAATATAAGATCCGACTATTAGAGTTTTCGATTTTCTGACTC